TTCTACTCTTCCTATAGCTCTTCAAGTAGCAGACCACGTACACGAGCCACATCAGCGCCCAAACCACAAAAAATTTCAAATGACAAATCACGTAGAGGCCTCACCTGTAGAACGTCCTCGTCCCAAGCCGACAAGGATAGCCAAAACTCCAGCAATGGCTCCAGCAATAAATGCAACATTCTTTGCGAATATCTCGGTCAATGCCGAGGTAAATTGGTTCAAATAAGCATTTGCATGGACATGCGACCTATTCAGACGTGCCGTCAGCTCATGATTAAGCTCATTGAAGTGCCTCATACGATACCTGGAATGAAGACAAATAAATACCCCATAGAAAAGCTATTCAGCTGAAGCTACTACAAAAGAAAGTATTCCGACCTGCCATAGTTCGAATACCGACGCATCCCCAAAGCATCACGACGACGTTTTATTAGTTCAGATAATGTGAAAAATGCGTACAGAATTTGATATAAAAATACCAAGGGGAAAAATATCAAATTTAAAAGTCCATACATGGCGACCTGGAATAGTAGATATTCATTTTGAATAGCACCATACCTTTTCTAGCAAGGTGGACACTTTTCAAATCAGCCGCTAATCGCTTCAGGGAAGGGTATCTTCTGCAAGGTACTATGAGGTGTAGGGTCACATAATGGGACCAGTTTCATTTGTTTAAGTCGACTATGCACGGGGTGGTTGATTGCAAATGAAATATTTCCGTATGAGCTTCATTTCCGCGCTTTTTTTTTCGATTTTTCTTCCATTTCGAACTGCATCCAGTGCTAAAAGGTGCCAAGAAACGATTGCGGGCCAGCATGATGGGAATTCTTGCTCAGGCCTAGAGACTGGGAAAGAGCTCAGCGCGTACGGGTGAACCAATTCACCCTGCCAAGAAACAAGTTTTCTATCAATACGCTACGATATATGCAACACTTCACATTCAACAATTAGAAGTGAATAACATCAATGAACTGCTCTGGTCATTTCTAATCCATCGTGGGGTACTTCAGCGTACTTTAGCATTACGGGAGTTGTCCCAAATTGAATAAGCAGCGCCATGTAACTACGGAGTATTGTGCTGGCCCGAGTCTCAGAGCTGCATGCTAAATGTATATAACCATGTGAAACAGGAGGGCGCGCAAAAGTTTAATTCCCAAAAACGCCACCAAAATAGCTAAATCAGTCAAAAGCTTTTAAAATATTTTATCTTGCTATATTTCGGTGCGTAGCACCTTCCTCAGGCCTGAAATTATTTAGCTTGTTTTTCGCTGGATATGAGCCTACAGAAATGCAACCCGCACTGACTCCTCTCCCACCAAGCCACTTACCCAAAGAATTTGCCGGGATATGAGGCCTGAAGAAAGGGCGGCGACCGAAATATTCGCAAGAATAAGATACTTTTAAAAAACTTTTGAGAATTTTGCTGTCTTTTGAGTTTTTGGAATAAACCTTTACAAAAGCTACTCCTCCTCCTCCACCACCCCATGCGAAAAAACCGGGTTTAAAATGTGTCGCAATTTGTTTGAAAGTGTCAGCGCGAGTTGAATTCCGTGCTTGAATTGAGGCAGAAAAATCACCAGAGTTTGGGGGGCAAAGGGTAGTAGCAAAGTAACTCGTAGAAGTGATGTCATGTAGAAACAGCATTCAACAAATAAAAGCCCAACTGAAGAAAAAAAAAAAACAAAGATGGTTTATATACACTCACATCTTTCTCGCATTTTCTTGCCTTGTCAACAATCAAGTGTTATGCCAGATCTTGCTAGTTGACATCTTTCAAAATACGGTCCAGCCCCACAGAGACGTAGAACCTGAAGGAGTTTGTTTATTTATTCGCAGAGTATGTGCTTCTGTTCAAATGTGTAGTGTCAAGTAAATGTGTCGTGTCAGGCGGGATGCTTCTGGCGCGGCGCCAAACCCTCTCTTCACTCGTTCTTGGAGCGAACAAGCGAAAACAATCGGTGAAAAACGACTGATACTAACAATATGATACATCCTCGTCCCTTGCCGAAAGAAAATGAAATGAAACAGGCTGGCGCCGCGCCAAATCCATCACCTGACACCCAACATCATCCGCAGTGAACAAGACTGTACCTAATCCAAGGGGATTAACGAAACAAACAATACCCGAAGAAAAGAATCCGTCGCAGATTTGATTTTAGTCCATTTGGTAAATAGGGCACGGGACCAACGAAAGGCACATGGAAAACCGGTGGAAGTACTCGCTGAAAAAAAAACTAAACTAACCACAGTTCTGCTAAGTCTGAAGGGGTTTCTCCTTAGAGGGAAGCTGAATGTGCATGATGAGTTTAAGGAAAACTCTCTCACCGTATTGACTAGAGCGACAAGATAATTTTTAAATCTCAGTATGCGATTATACAAGTCAAATGGAGTTATATTATCACGGTCCACTTTCAAATGAAGATGTTTTTGCACCTGAAATGTAAAGCTTTTAGAAAATATCCTGCTACTCAAAGATCGGCACAGACGAATTAGAAGAAATTGTAAACACCAGCAGTAAACTGACAGCAATAATTCAGGCGCCAATCCCTATGAGAAGGGGGGGAGCATTTCGAAAGCTTCCGTCTTCCGCTGAGACGTTGCAAGGTCTAGGAAACTCCTCAGCAGCTACGAAATGTCATGACTTCCACGTATAAAAAGATAAAGTCTCCGTCGTTGAACGATTCCTTTTTGGGATGGGTACGCGTTGTACTTCCATTCAGTCGTAGTGCTATTAAAAGCGATGCGGGTTACATAGTTGCGGGGCCAGCCAAGTCAGGGTTTCATTTTCTCTGACGGGTAGTCACAAGTCAGGGTTTCATTTTCTCTGACGGATGCGGCACCAATGTACCCAGTAGAGGAGGCTCCGTTGGCCTTGGCGGTAGCCGATAAGGGATTTGTTCTCGAAACCATACGCGTGGAAAGTGTGCCACCTGCTACTAAACCACCTCCGTCTAGTGTACCCAAACACTGGCTTTCGCATCTCGTAGGAAATGGTCTACCTACACCGCCATAAAAATCGCTTCTTCGTCCTTTCT